CAGGGTAAAGGCATGTGTGTCAATGGAGCGTATTAGGGCATTGCTGAAAGAGGGCAAAGTTAAGTTTGCATAGGTAACCTTAACTGCATTTCCTGGTTTTCAGAAGTTTGAGTTTTGATCAATTCAGCATTCTGCAAGAGGAACAACATACCACCAAACAACCTTAACTCCACATTAATGTATTTTTTTTTTTGCCATTGAATTATCAATATTGTTTAGCTCTTGTTAGAATACAAGTGCCCTGGGGAAAGTGTCTCCATAATACTATTCATCTCTGTCTGTAAATATGTCAGTGAGAGACTCTTATTGAAACCAAGAACATGGCTGCTGAAAGTTTATTTTCAATAAAAAAGCATATTAAGTATTTGATTTTACAGTACCTAAACCAAGCCTTTAGTAAGACCAACATGTTGGAGTATAACCAGGGCTTTGCATACTCTGCATCACAATGGGACCAAATCTCCATTAATATTAACTTATTCTAGTGCCATGAAATACTCCTCATTTCCTTTCCCCAAACATGCACAACTACAGCTTGTAGCTGTAAATGCTTATTGATTTAAACTCTGTAAACAGACTGGGTCGTTACATGAGAGATTTTCAAAGATATAAATCACAGGTGCCTAACTCCCATTGCCTTTTCAATAGGAGCTAGGGACCTAAAGCACTGGACTGGGACTCTGGTCTGGGTTTAGCTCCCAACTCCAATCTTGTGCAAGTCACTTCATCTCCGTAGCTCAGGAAGATACTTCCCTACCTCACAGGGGTGTTGCAAGGACAAGTTCATTGTTTAGGAATTACTCAGCTACTGCACTGGTGGGGTCCTATACACATATATATTCTTTGCAAGCTTGACTTCAATTTGAAACTCAAAGCCCCTTTGAAATCAGTGGTTGCACAGGACTGTTGTGTGAGGAAAAAGCCAACTGGTCCTGGAGTAATTAATAACAAGTGAAGTAATCAGTTAACATAAAAGTCGAGCATCCTATCAAGAATGTTCATTAACACAACAGTTGCAGAATTTGCAGTTCCTATGGTAATTTAGATCAGTAAGGGAGGACTGACCTGGCTGGATATATTTTGCTCCTTATGTGTAGAAATATAAGTCACACCTTCCACTCTTACTTTAAAGGGTTTTGTTGAAATTTAACACTACTTAAATTGAATTCAGAGTGTCTACACAGGAGTTTGTATCTGTTCAACTAAACTGGCTTTCAAACTGATTTAAAGTTAAACTGGTGTAATTCTGAATATACCTATAATTTACTAGGCAGCACTGAGAATTTAACATAGTTTAGAACTTCTGATTCAACTTTAAAATTAAATTTAAGTTCAAAAGTCTTAATCAGAAAGGGAAAGACAGAAAAGGAAAAGGAGCAGGTGAAGAAATGGGTAAAACACTTGCTACCTGAGACATAAATCTGAAAAATGCTTTTAATTAAAATCAGTTAGAAGAAGTAATTTTTAGTTATGTTTTGTTTTCCTTTGGGACTATTTATAAGCGATGTAATGCATTTTATATATAATTTTAAAAATTCCTTTTCTCCTAATTGTTAGCTATTTTATAAACACAGACAGGACACTTTAGGGAGTGTATCACTGCTTGTTTGGTGGCTGGAATACTCGACCATCAACCTGGCATTTTTCAGTGCAACCAAAGAGCAGCAATATCCTAACATAGTTCAAACAATGTATCTTGTTAAACTGATTTTAATATATTGTTTTATTTATTAACAAAAACTATTTAAAATCTTTGCACAAACACTTGTAGTCAAAAATTGATGCAGCAAAACTAGCTGAGAAAGGGAGAAAAGGGAAAGGACAAAGAGCAGGTGAGGGGCAGGGCAAGAAGGAAAAGAGCAAAGTGGAGAAGGGGAGTGCGAGTTGAAAGAACATCGTCAAGATATTCTTAAATTAAAAAAAAATCTACTTCCCCTTACTAATATCTATACTGCATCTGGGAGGTGTAATTCTCAGTTTGGGTAGATGTACACATGCTAGCTCTCCTCTATCTGACATACTAAAAATAGCAATGTGCCACAACAGCTCTCACTTGCCACCCAAATACAATCCTGTTTTGAGATCCTGGTTATGTGCTCAGAAGGCTAGGCAGTGCTGCCATGACCACATTACTATTTTTAGCATGTCAGCTTGAGCAAAGCTAGTGTGTACACATTTACCCAACTTGGGAATGATACCTCCTGGCTTCAGTGCATACCTAGCTTGTAGGGGACAGAAACTAGAACAGTTGTAAAAATCCTGTGTTTACGGTTAGTTTCGCTTTCTGGTTCTCATATGCTGCAAAGGTGTGAAATGGGTTCACGCCAGTGTAGTTTAATGTCTCTGAACAAATACATTTGTTTTCTTGTCTACTGAGAAAATGGCAAGAAAAGAAAGATGATGAAACTCGACAAACTGACTCTTCCTTATCGTCTGGACTGAAAGGAGTAGATGGATCAAGAAACCTTAATTTATTGACAAATTTTTCCCACACACTTGACTAATTCTATGATGAGGACCCTCTCTAGTGCATTAGTAAGTCATTCTCCACAATGAGGCTGCAGTAAATTACTTGTTCCCATTTTCTTAAATGTTCTCATTGAATCAAGGAATTAGTGATCTGCTTCATTCAAATGGAAAATTTATAAAAGGGCTGTTCCAAACAATGTGGAATTGTGTAATTCTTAATATTTGTAAGAATACGTTATTTTGTGACACCTCCAATTGTACAAACACTTTGTAGCTGGGATTCAAATATATGTAAAACATAGACTAGCTCCTGGGTTACCCCAACTCGTATATCTCTAACCTGTGGACTGCAAATGAAATTCTGCTCCCCAATCTGATGCTTGATTTCTGTATAAAATGCTGTTTCAGGACTGCTGGAATTGTTACAATTCGGAGCGAACGGCATCTGTATTTCCACCCTTCACCCCCATGCTCCAGCAAGGGCACCCGTTCTCAGGCTGTCAGCTCCCTTGCCATTGCCTCTCTTGGGTGGAGATCCACATCTCTTCCTTCTGACCATGTTTCCAGGATGCACAGTTCACTGCCTTTACTACGTATTTCCTAGCACAGTCTGCCTAAACAGACCTGCTTGCTTTCTTTTCAGAGACTGGTAACAGAGGAAGTGCTATAGCTATGTTATCACACAATTCCTCCTATACCTTAACAATGGTATTGCTGTGGATGCTTCTGTTATAGTTCTGCAGCCTTTTAAAATGGTGAATGTTTGTAACAGAGGATCCTGAGTAAAGATTCCAGGATTGGCAGCTGAGTGGACAAAGTAGTTGAGCTCTAAGGAAATCCCCACAAGGAAGGGGGTGAAGGAATCCTCACTGCCAGCCTTGGAGTGGTTGGGGAGCTGAGACTGCATTAATCCTATGGCTTTAGCACACTTTAAATGTGTACAGAAATTCCTATATAGCAGCAGATCCTCCTCTTATGCTGTTCCTTTGCATTAGGGCATAGGGGGTCACTGCCACTCAATAACACACAAGGAACAAGCACCCTGTAATTCTGCTGTTATGCAAGCCTGCACCAATTTTGCTGGCAAGACACCACAGGAGTAGCAGTGGCAGGGAACAGGATTTGCCCTTCACTCTGATCTTTTTCTAGGTATGTGACTAATTTGTGGGAGTGTAGTGATGTAAATTCCATAATCCTGCCATACTATTTGTCTAGTTTTGCCATCCAGCAAATTGTGCTGACTGACAGCTCTACCTGGATCATTAACAAGATTTGAACCCAGAATCTTCATCTATACGTTGCACATCTCTTCCAGTAGGGGTAACAGTGAAACTAGGGTATTGTATTGTATACAGGCCAACTGGAAGAGGGGATGTGACCAACTTTACCAATGGGTTATACAGCTGTTTATGCCTATGAGACAGCAATACAATGGTGGGTAACAATTTCCTAGGATTCTATTCCTGGGGTTAGGAGCAGAGTGGAGTCTAAAGGTTACAGACAGCATAACCAAGCAGATAACTTGGCAGGTGTTCTGGAAAGCACTGTGGCAAAGTAAATACGACATTGAGTGTGCTAGATTGTATATCTGTGCTCTATACGAAGCAGATCCGTCTGGATCTTTTGCAACCTCTTGTGTATCACTAGAACAATGGTTTTCAATCTGTGGTCCATGGACCCTGGAGGTCCACAGATTATATCTAAAGGCTCTGCGAAAGGTGGTAGTTATGACAGAGCAGTGGTTTTGAACTGGGGGGTCCACAGACTATCTAAGATTTCCCTCCATTTGAAATTTATTAGGGGTCTGCAAATGAAAAATAGTTGAAAACGACTGATCTATGGCAGTGGGAGCTGGGATGAAAAGAGCACTACTTCCACCCCCTAGGCTATGAGACCCTGGCTGTCTCACACCCCAGACAATGTACCAGTTATGACAGGGAATGGGGCGGGTGCTGTGACAAAGCTGCAACATGCATGTGTCAGGTGAGATGCATGACACCATGAGCTAGCTGCTCTACATAAAGGGGACGCAGATTTTCACTCATTGGGGCGGGTGGGCTGTACTTGGTGCTTAACCTTACTTGTGCCCTAGTCGGGCATGAGGCCTACCCACACGGCCTGGAGCGCAGCTATCATGTAGCCCCTTGCTGTGCACTATGCAAGTTGCAGAGTGAAACTAGGTCGCCTGGCTGCTTCAGAAGCCTCAGCAATGAACAAGTCAGTCCTGGGCACCGTGAACACTGCACGTGCTGCGCTGGGAGTGGCCTGCGGGCACCAGGGACCCTCCGTCCCCACCCGGTGACAGCGGAGCACTAGGAACGGGGGGACTCTCCTGGGTTCGAACCAAGACGGTCGGGAACTACTGAGGACTCGCTCTCAGACGCTCAAGCGGAAGGCAAAAGGCCGCACATGCGCACTAGGCAAAGCGAACGCACGCACCATCGCTCTAGCCTGGTCAGGTGACATGCGCAGGCGCACTGGTTATGCATGCAAACCGGAAGGAGTCTCACGGCGGCTAAGCTAGAGCCTTCGGTCGGTATTATGCTTGCGCACTGACAGCAAGTCGATACTGCGCAACACCCGTTGCACATGCGCGCTAGGCTGACCTGTGTGCTCCACGCCAGGCCAGACAACATCCCTTTCTAGTAACTTCCCTCATTCGCAACGTCATCAGTGCGCGCCGCGCCTGAGATGGGTTGTTTCCGTTTAACTCTCCGGGACTGAGAGTGTTGCGAGTGTTTCCCGGTGTTGGCGCGCGAGAGGCAGCGGCGGTGAGGGGCCGGGTTTACGTAGCGTGCCCGCGCGGCGAGAGCGAGAGAGACCTCGAGTAAGCGGCCCCCTCCCCCGCCATGGCCGAGAGCGGAGAGAACCCCCCCGGGGCCCGCAGCCCCCCGGACTCCCCCGCCCCGGGAGGCGCCGCCTCCTCGGAGCCGCGGATCATCAAAGTCACCGTGAAAACCCCCAAAGAGAAGGAGGAGTTTGCGGTATCCGAGACCAGCAACGTGCGGCAGGTGAGGGGGGCGGGCCCGGGAGGCCGCGCCGGTAGCAGCGACGGGGGAGGGGGGCGAGGCCGCGCAGCTTCCTGCTCCCGACTGAGTTTCCGAGGCCTGGGGAGCCATAGCCGTCCCGCTCCCGTGGGGAGAGGCTGAGGTTGGCAGCGCTCTCCCTCAGCCGAGCCCAGCCGCAGTGCGGGGGCCTCCTAGCCAAGCCAGAGCCCTGCCGGGTGACGAAGCAGCGCCCCGCTGTGTTACCGTGTGCGCTGCCGCTGCCTGCCCTGGCCCTGAGTATCGCCCGCTATAGTACGGTTAGCGCTGCTACCAGCCGCGTCACGAGCCGCTGGGGCCGACTCGCCCACGGGCAGCGAGTCCTCAGCGCTTGCCTCTGTAGTCCCGTCGGCGAGAGGAGATGAGTGGCTTTAGCTCTCATACTGTGAGCTGAGCCTGAGCCCAGCCATCTGAGCGGTGCTAACAGCGGGAGACTGGGCCTCGAACTGACACGCATATTGCATGGGTTACCAGTCAGGCGGAGGTTGATGATGAAAAAGGATAGTAACAGCCTTCATCTGACAGTCCTCGTGGCTAAAGAAAGGGGTACAGCGTGTAGTTTAGTTAGGGTGTGTACACGTGATGTCTTTACCCTAAAAAGAGTCTTAGCACTTAAAATTATATTGATAAGGATACTGCCAGTGAAATGCAGCCATAGCTGGGAGGGAATGTGCTCGTGCCATTATACAGTAGTTTCTCCAATGGTATTGTCTAACGACCATGAGCTGTTAGGGTCTTTTTCTGTATTCTAATGAAAATCAATTTGTTCCTTTGCATCTTGGGTTCATAGGGAAGAATGGCACCTATTGGAGCAAACCATTTCCTCATACTTAAGTCTTTTTTTGGAGACCTTCCATCCAAGTATGGACCAGGCCTGATTCTATTTAGCTTAGGAGAACCCTGAAGTTCTGTGGCTGCATGTCATAGGATATTAACAGTTAAACTGTAAAGCAACTAGCTGTAGAGTAGAAGTTTTCCTGCCAGTGAATGATACAGGCTTTGCCACACTAACCGAGCTACAAAAACCAAAGAAACGTTGCCCATTAGAGCTTGTTTCATGCTCTTATTAAAAAGCGCTTAATTTTTGTGCATCACTGGAGCATTCAATGTATGCAACTTGAATTTACCTCCATAATGACTTCAACCAAAGCTGTTCTAAGCCTTTGCAACTAAGTGTTTTGGAACACGCCCAGTGTGTAGAAAATTTTACCAGCTGCCTACTGGCTGAAGGTCATAACTTCCTAGCCAGATAAGGATATAAAGGACAAGATGGGAGCTCCAGTAGCAAGACCTAGAATCAACAATCTGGTTAGAAACACAGTCTCTTGCTGCTACTAGGAAGGGGTAAGATGTTGAAATTTCTACCAAGGCATTCCCTTTGGGCCCTGCTCAGGAATTTGATTTTGTTTTTTTAGAACAGTTTCTGGCTACTAGGCCAGAATTTTCATTACAGTCTTCCTCTGGCACCTTTGCCTATTAGGGATTGTCTATGCTACAGAGTTAGGTCAGCTTAACTAAGTCTTTCAGAGCTGTGAAAAATTTAATTCCCTGTGCAATGTAATTAAGATGACTTAAACCCTGGTGTAGAAACTACTAGGTTGACAAGAATTCTTCTGTCAACCTAACTGCTGCTCCTCAGAGTTGGGTTTACTACAGCAATGGAAAAACCCCTTCCATCTCTGTAATATTTGTCTACACTGCAGCAGCACAGCTGCAGCTAACATTTCCAGTGTAGACATACCCTTAGCTTCTCCAGAGCCTCCCGACTGCTGCAGTGGGGTAGGCTCTTTGCTACATTGCTCGCGAGCTTCATTTTTGGACTTTTCTTACCTAGGCAAAATTCCAGTGTGCTTTGTTACTTCTGGCTGCTTTCCTAAGCAGCAGCTGTGTGAAACTGACAATTTTTTCATTTCCCCCTTGACCTCAGAGTTCTGAATAGCAGTTGTGAAACTGATTAGTCTTATTTCACTCTTTTGCCAAAACTTTGCAACTTTCGACATTAGAGCTGAGATATTCAAAGCCATTTCAGGGATGTAGACAAATCTTTTGCTGAAATTAATAGGCAATATGTCTCTTTTCTCCTATATGGCTTTGAGCATTTCGTTGTTTGTGGGCTACAAATAACAACTCTGCATCATTTTACATCTGGAAATTTGTTTTTCAGAGTTCTTATATTCTGTATAGGAACTAGTTTAGGTCTCTCACTTGCCATGAAAAGCTTTACACTTGCAAATGGATTTTCTAATCCCCGCTTAGGTGCTATCATAATGGGTTCATTATAAGTATCTGGGTAGACCAATGTACTTGTGCGTGACTTTTTATCATTAAATATCGTTCCTTGGATCTATATATGAAATACATGTACAATAGATATATAAATTGACTACTTTTTAAAAATGTGATATTTTAATGGAGATGCACTCTCTGCTAGTAGACAGCTGTCTAAAAATTGGAATTGTTATAAACTAGTTAATAGAGAAATGAAATAGTTTCCAAAAATAAACACAAGTTTTGGACTTCAGGTGATTTATAGAATATATATACATAAATTGCAAATACTTAAGCAAATTAGTTAAAATTAGATCCAGCTTTTACCTGATAAGACCTTGGGTGAAATGCTGGCCCCATTGAAATCAATGGCAAAAGCTACCATAGACGTCAGTGGGGCCAGGATTTCATCTCTGCAATAGTTAATGCCCCTGCTAACATTTGAGAAGATTTAAGGTCTGAAGCTCCTGTAATACTTCAGATATTAGCAGCTCTTGCTATACAATCATATTAACCTGTTGTCGATGCTCACTGTCAGCAATGGATGTAGTTGAACCAGTGCTAAAAATGGATTAATTTCAAGTGTAGACAGGACCAAATAGTTTTGAACACCAGTTCAGCTGCATCTGTTGCTGACACATAGTCAGCACTGGGTCCTGTTGCTAGTGTGGGCAGGGACAATGATGTCCTCCGTAGCTGCAGGAAAAACATAGAAATAAGGTGAGGGTCTGAACTTGTGTGGGCAGATACAATAGCCTTTCAGTTCACCTTAAACTGTATATCTGTAACGAGCATAATCCCTTAGTCATTTGAGACTTTATTTTTGAAGTTCATTTTAAGAAAAGTTTACTGCACAGTGAGTTCCGGAATAGAACAGTGTGACAGCACCCAGGGTTGTGAGACACCTCACCATCAACTGCCCTTAGTGTGAGGAAGTCTTGTTTGTGCTTGCGGTGTGGTGGATCAGTTCCCTGAAACCACCAGCCTCTGGCAGCACAAGCACTGACTTCCAGGCCTCCGCAGGCCTTGCTCTGTCTGTACAGGTAGCGTGTGATAGGCACACACTAAGTCCCACCCTTAGAGCATTTCCTGCAATGTGTCCAGCCCCTTATCCGCTAACACTCATCGAATTACCAGGTCTGCTGTTCCCAAAGAAACAGTACAGACGAGCTTGTAAGCTTCAACTTTCTTTCACCACTGTGCTTAGCACCACAACACTTAGATATATCTATAGTGAAAACAAGAATAAATTTATAATCAAAGAACAAAGATTCAAGTTACCATGATAAGAATACAAATAGTTACACAGAAAACAAAATCATAACATGCTTTTTAGAAACTAAACTTAACTATCAAGTTATCCTCTTATCTGAAGATTCTCACCTGAAGTTCTCTCCAGTGTTTTCAACCAAGCCAAGTAGGTTGAGATCCCACTTTCATGAAGCAAATTCACTGTCCACTTACTTCCTAGGTGAGGGATAACAGGGTGTCGTCTTTGTCCCTCAATTACAGCAGAGAAACCTTAGATATTCCTGCCTTTCCTCCTCTGTTTGCTTCTTCTATTACTTTTCTCTCTGAAGTTTTTCCATAGTCCTTTATTAGCATTCGTTTCAGACTGGTAGGAGGAGACCCATTGTGAAACATACAATACTTAATTTACATGTAAACAGTCAGCTATATAAACATTTTTTCTCTGACAGAAAACCTGTTTTTCATTTTTACTGGTAGCCAGTCCCTGGACGACAGATGTTTCAGAACATAATTTTCAGTGTATACAAATACGGCTACGATTATGTCACGGAATCCGTGACTTCCATTGACCTCCGTGACGTTTTCTGCCCTGGGGCTGGAGCTCTCAGCCAGGCCCCTCCCCCCTGCAGCTCCCAGCCCCCACACTGGTGGGGGCACCCTGCAGCTGTCCAGTTGGGGGCATCAGAGGGTCCCGCAGCTGCCCAGGACAAGTGGTGGGGACTCCCCGCAGCTGCCCAATTTGTCAGGGATATTTTTAGTGAAAGTCAGGGTTGGGCCATGAGCTTCCATAAATTTTGGTTTATTGACCATGACCTGTCCATGACTTTTACTAAAAATGTGTGACAAAAACGTAGCCTTGTATATAAATAACTCCTTACACAACATTCATACATGCATTTCACAATGATAGTGATGACCAGTGTGACACCAGCTTTTATGACACCTAACGTGACACTCTTTGGTGAATTAGAATGTACATGCAAGATCCAGACTGTCTACATTACACAGCTTTTAGCAACATGGCTGTATTGCTACAGCCATGCCGCTAAAAGTCGTGCAGTGTAGCCGCTGTTTGTCAGCTCGTCTCCTGACAAAAAACTTCCACCCCCGACGAGTGGGGTTAGCTTTGTCGGCAGGAGAGCGCTCCTGCCGATAAAGCGCTGTTCACACTGGCGCTTGTTGTTGGCAAAACTTTTGTCTTTCGGGGTATGTTGTTTTTTCTTAACACCTCTAAAAGACACAAGTTTTATCGTTTAATTGCCAGTGTACACAAAGCCCCCGTGTAGGGTGTATTTAAGCAAGGAGGGAATGTGTCTGGAGTGTTTTTGTGCTCTGGTGATCCCTGTGTGCCACAACAGCCTCTTGGGGACTATTACAGCCATGCATAGAATAGAGCAGCACGCAGACTGCTCTAACTTGCATCAAAACCCAAATAAGCTGTAGGCAGC